TCAAGAAGGATGTCAAAAGATGATGGACATGGTGAACACCAAAACAATGTCATCAAAATTGAAAAAGACTTGTTGGAGACTTGAAGCCACTCTGGCCTTCACTTATCATGCTTCTTTCTGTACAATGAGAGGGCTGGCTCCTTCCAGTTCTAACACTGATTTCTCAATCATGAGGTTAGGGAGCAGTTGGAGAAGGATAGAACTCTTTATGCTAGAAGGAGGAGAAAATTTCTCTGGGACTATGGGATACAATTACATTTGTATACTGGCAATGACTTTTGAAGACTTTGAGTTATACCTTGTATCTTAATACATATGTAAGAATCAAGTGTTCTCAGTTCTGCAGACATGAGACATGAATCAGGTCAATGAAAGCCAGTACAGATGCCTTTCACAACCATAATATTTCCTCATGCACACATTTATGCATGCATGCCTTTGTAGAGGAGGTAGAAGCAAAGAAAAATGCAGGGAAGTTTTGATTTTATTTTGAAAAGGAAAAGGTCTAAACAACAGAGTGGGTCACATGAACAGGAGATTTTAAAAAAAATTAAGTTCTTTTAAAGATTGAAAGAAGCTTAACTTTAGTAGAAGAGTTTATCTTATCTTTGAAACCCAGTATTTATTCAAATGGCAGGAGAAAAATAAGGGCTACTGTAAGAGCTGTATCTTCAGATTCAAAGCTCTGCTCAAGCTATCACAACTCAAGGCAGCAGTCCCTAACACAATGATTCCAGGTCTTAGGAATTCCACTATCTATAAGACCTCACTCCAGTCCAGGGCTCTGCAGAGGGTTCTATAAAACAATTTTCAAAAATCTTTCCTAATTTTGCTTGGAAAACTCTTTAATTTGTGGAATCATAAAATTTAGATCTGAAAGGATCTTAAAGGTCATCTAAGGGGCTGGTAGGGGTCAAAAAAAATTCTCATAGTATAACCTTCTGAACAGCTACATCATATTATACAAGGTATCCCCATATTCTTAATGCAGTTTTAAACTTAAGCTTAATAATGTAGATAGGAATATATATGTACCCATATATATATATATATATATATATATGTATGCATAAATATATATGTCTATATTTATATCCATATTTGTATTTAAGGGGCACAGTAGACAGAGAACTGGATTTGGAATCAGGAAGACTTGAATTTGAATCCTGCCTCAGAGACTGGCTGTGTGACCCTGGGCAAGTCACTTACCCACTCTGAAACTTACGACTTGAATTTGAATCCTGCCTCAGAGACTGGCTGTGTGACCCTGGGCAAGTCACTTACCCACTCTGAAACTTACGACTTGAATTTGAATCCTGCCTCAGAGACTGGCTGTGTGACCCTGGGCAAGTCACTTACCCACTCTGAAACTTACTTTCCTTATTTATAAAATGAGGAGCTGGAGCTGATGTCATCTGAGATTTCTTTCAGATCTAAATCTTCCCCTTAGGCACCCCCTTTCTTGTTCATTGATCTCAACAAATGCACGCTTGTTCATCTGCTTTTAAGGTGATTTTTGCTTGGTTTTAGGGGAAGGATAAGGAAGGAGAAAAGAAGAGTAAGAAAGGCAGAATCCTGATTGGATTGGGGTCTCACAGCATCAGACTTAGCATTCACTAGTTTACAGGCCTAACAGTCCTATGCTAACTCCACAGGCTCTGTCACCTCAAGAGATCAAGCCCAAGTTTCAGGCTAGACTGCAGCAGTCCTAGGAAGGCCCCCGACTACCTTAGGTCTTCTCTGTGTTCTGGAGAGATTGCATAAGATTATAGAACTGGAAGGGGCCTTAGAGGTCAATTAGTCCAGCTTTTTCATTTTATAGAGGAGGAGGCCAAGGCCCAGAGAGATTAAGCTTCTTATCCAAGGCCTCTCAGGGACTGTTACAAATTGAGGATTTAAACCAAGATCTTCTTACTCCAAAATCCCATTTTTCTCCCTAACTATAGCTAACTTCACTAGGTCAAGGGAGCTATTGAAGGAACAGGTGAATTCAAGGCATTCACCATAGGTCAGGAAAGCCATGGGTTCAGGCTAGCTACCTCAGAACAGCATGGAACCCTTTTCCAATGGGAAGGAGAGGTTCTGTGCATGCCAGGTCTATACCCAAGGATGATTTTTTGGTATACAACATAGAAATATTTTCAGGACTCTGGTGAGGTAGGTAGGGGATTGGCACCAATATCTCTCTTTCCAGAAACAGGGATATAAGATAGAAAAGGAATCTGACTTGTCTAATACTCTAATGACTGGTCAGATTATTGAAAATGAAGAAAGGAAAACTCACAAGAGATAAGAAACGCTTGTTAAATCCTGCTACTGGGTAAAGAACACGGATAACATTTTATCTTGTATCTATGTTGCTTGTACATAGCTTTTTGCATGTTGTCTCCCTCATAAGAATGTGAGCTCCTTGAGGGCAGGACTGATTTTTGCCTTTCTTTTCATCCCCAGGGCTTAGCACAGTGCCTGACACATAATGAATGCTTGTTGATAACAAGGGATTATGAAAAAATACCACGTGTTTCTCACGACAAAATCCCTCTTGTGAGATCCCTGCCTGTCTTTGGAGGCTGAAAGATGGAATCGTTATTGGCAAGTGACACTAATACCTGGGGGACAGAAGTGTAACTTTAGGGCCTGGCAAGGATGGATATCTGCATAATAAGACAGTATGAGCTTACTCAACCATGTCTACAGTAAATCATAAACAGATGTGGTAACATCTGTTATAATTTTTTTTTAAAGAAAGGGGAGGGGGCATATTCAGAACCTCAGTCTAAGTCTCTGATCAAGAAAGACTATGCCAGATTACGAAATTCCAGGTAGCTGACTCTTGCCAGTCTTTCTGAGATCCTCCCCCCTTCCTTACTGTTAATTAATTAATTGCTCTCGGTGTCTGTGCATTTTTGCAGACTGGTTTCCCCATGCCTGGAACACTCTCTGCCCTAACCTCTACCTCTTGTTCCCTTCCAGGCTCAGCTCAGTCTCCATCTCTTTCAAGTGGTGCTTCCTGATTTACTGAGTTATTAGTGTTCTTCCTGACTCCCACCTCCCCACGTCACTATGTATTTATTTTGCATACATAGCTTGTATTTACTTATCTGAACGTACTATAAGCCTCCAGTAGACTACATATTCAGTCTCATTGTTGTGTCCCCAGGTGATAAGCGCCTTGCAGTACTTGGCATGTAGGCACTGAAGAAATACTTGTGGACTGACTATTCTATACAGCTTGGTTCCTAATTACATTTTATTTAGCACTTTAACATAAATTGTTCTAGCCTGGTTTCTACTTGTTTCACATATGCCTAACTAAACTCTTTATGGACAGTGCTACAGGACGAGAGTCTAATAACCTGGGTTCCAGTTTGAGTTCTGCCCCTAAATAGCTGGGTAAAAGAGGGAGGTGGGAAGACAAACAGAGTAAATTTAACCTTTAAGATCCTTTCTGGTTTTTAAATTCTAGGGTTGTAGCAACCACATCATATGCTTTTTGGGACATCCACAGGACTTGGCATAGTGCCAGGCACATCATGAATGTTCGATAAATACTTCTTTCTCCCTGCCTTTGGGTCAATGGACTCTCCCATTACCATCCTTGAATCCTTGAGAATTCACTACTTTTACGGTTTCCCATATTTTTGTACTGGAATTTCTTCATTTTAGTGATCTTACAAATAAAGCCTTCATCACAGAATATAAAGATAATCATAAAAGATGCCTAAAAATATTTGATACTCTAAACAAGCAACTTCACTAAGGAGCCTGTTCTTTGGCCCCTATTTGATTCCCTTTGCAGACCAAGAAAATCTGAATTATTGAGGGTGAGTCAGAATCCATGTACTTAAGTGGAAATATAATTCTTAGGTTACAATCAATATTGAAATAGGACCTCTATGCCCGTGGAGACGCATCTATCATTATGTCTAATCACCTGGACATTTCTAGAATAGAAGCAGAGGAACTCTTCACTAATATAGCTTGGATTACCCTGTAATATGACCCAATACAGTCAGTCGGGGCCTTCTCATACTATCAACTCAAAGCTATTACATATTCCATATTCAAAGAACTAAAATTGCCCCCTATTGTGTCTAATGAAAAATCATTTCTACTGGCCACTCCAAAAGACATGAAATATGAAGTATTATTTATTTTAGTATTCCTACTTATAGAATGGTTAGAGTTCATCCTACACTGCTAAGACTGCAGTGGACTCAGGATACAGGTTATTAACAGGATTGCTTTTTATTTCTATATAAATGTTGACCCAGTGCTCTTTAAACAAGATTAATTCATTTTTTTGGAATCCCAACCATGTGAGGAGAATAAATATTAAGAACTGTGGGGGGTATTCAGTTGAGGAAACTGAGACACAAAAAATGTCATTTGCTGAAGGCCACACAGAGAATCAATATTGATACATTTTTATTAATAACAGTGATTGAATAATAATTAGTGAGGCAGCAAGGCGGCATAAGGGATAGAGTATTGGACCTGGAGTCAGGAAAATCGGAGCTCAAATCTTACCCTAGACACTTACTAGCTGTGTGATCCTGGGAAAGTTACCTAATCACTGTCTGCCTTAGTTTCCTCATCTGTAAAATTGGAGTAATAATAGCTTCTACCTCCTAGGATTGTTGTGAGGATCAAATGAGATACTATTTATAAAGGGCTTTATAAACCTTAAAGCATTATATAAATGTGATCTACTTAATGCTAATATTGGGAAACTGGATTGAGACAGCTCAATTTATTTCATGCACAGGACTGAGTATTCTCTAATTTAACTTATACTAATTCAGAATGAATACGAACTAACACCTATATACAAAAATAATTCAAATCTCTAATCCCTATTAGCAACCCGTCCCATGGAACTGCAGTGCCTATTCACATATTTATAGGAAACAAAACACCAAACCCTTCAGTCTTCTTATAGATTGCTGATAGAATAGACACGACTGTATGATCCGACTTCCCACCCCTTACTTACTTACTTGTATAACAGAATGTCTGCAGCTTGAAGTACAGGGTATGTGAAGAGACCCACTGTCCCCTCTTGCTTCAGGCTAGCCCTCTTAGTCTGTGAGGAAGAACAAAAGCGTAAAAAATGTTCAGACATCTACCTAATCATATTATTGAACTATGGACATTTTCACGCCCAAGGAAACAGCATTGTAAAGAGGAAAGAACAGAGGAGTAAGAATAAGGAGGCTTGCGTTCTAGCCCCAATTCTGTTACGTACTCTCTGTGTGACCTTGGGCAGATCACTTAATCTTTCTGAAATGCAGTTATTTCAGTGGTGAAAATGGGTATAATAAACTTTCCTGCTTATCTCACATGTTTCTAGTACAAGAAGCCAGGGAGATGTGAATGAAAATTCTCTGTAAACTCTGAGGTGTAAATCAAATGTAAGAAATCCATTCAATGAGAACTTATTAATCAGCTATAGTGTGCCAAGCACCGAAGATACAAAACCAAAAATGAAGCTCTTTCTGCCTTTCAGGAGCTTATGTTCTATTGCAGGGAAACAACACACACTTGCATAAGCAATACAAAATCTATAGAGCCCACAGAGGACGTAGGGGAGGATATGGATAAGACATATAATATGCAATCTTTCCCATAAGAGAAAGTAGCCATCTTGACAGGATCCCAGATACACTGACATATTGAAGGAGAAATGCCTTATGGGGTAATGAGCTGAGAGATAGTCAGGACTGATGAGGAATACGGAAAAGGAGAGCTGAAGAGTGAAGAAGTGATAAGCACCATCTCAGAACTATCAAGGGGGAAGGCACTCTGATTTGAGATGATGAGAACCATACTGAACCTTAGGGCTTCAGTGTTCTGCCATTTTGTTTCTACCCAGGGATATGGAAAGAATTGGCAACACTGCCTCTTAATTGAGCACTGGCACTTCAACATACTGTTTGTTTTTCTCTGTGTAGTTCCTGTTTGGGAGTATCAGTTTCAGAGGAAACCGTGGCAGCCCTGAAAGTTCGCAAGGTGGAAAGATGCCTGCAAATGGGATCAGTGTTGACATAGTTGTAGGCTCTCTAATTTTAGGCTATCATATTGCAAAAATAAATGGAAGTAAAGTGCTGTGAATTATCCCAACTTAACTTATTTAGTTGAGCTTCCTTGAGAAAGTGTAGCCTTCATTTTACTGTGGATTTGAACTGTTGCCTGGACCCATCTTGTTTAAATGTTACATAAAAATGTTATTTCCCTTCTTCCCACAATGAACACATTCTTGCCTTGCCACCAATTAGTTCTGGTGGGGATGGAACACAGATTCCAAGGGCAATGGATCCAGACTGTTAATCATAATAGGGAGGGTTCAAGGTCATTAGCAACTCAAACAAAAAGCAGACTCTGGGTCATCCATTCTGAGACTCAGAGTAAGAAAACCATAGATTCATAGAATTGTGAAGCTTGAGGGGTCTCGAGACTCTAACTACATTATTTTAACTGTGGCCTAGAGACGTTAAGTGACAGGCCACTAAAGAACCTGCCAAAGTTAGCACAGCTACTTAGATGAGCTAGAAGCCAATGTTCTTGCGATATGGTGAGACAGGCCAATTTAGTGGGTAAAACAGAAGAATATAGAAAAGAAAAACTTTCATAATGGTGGCATTTAAGTTCATTTTAGGTTTCCTGCTTTGAAAATATTTACCTTCCACTGGGGTAAATTTTGTAACCGTGGCATCCTGACCAGACATCCAAGGATCCAGCCTAATTCTGAGTGCTCTGACACCTAAAGAAAGGAGAAATTACATTATAAATATAGTGAATACTTTAACATATATTAAATAATAAGACAAGGGTAATCAAGCACAGTTATCTCTAAACCCCTAGAATACTCAATAATTGAGATTGCAGAGAAGAAAAAGGGGCTTGTGTGTGTGTGTTTTTTTACTATTACATCTAAATGCTAGAGAAAGGTGCTGGAATGAAAACCACAGAAACTTGAGCCATTTGGTTTAGGAATCAGTCAGAAGTAGCAGAGATGGTGTTCCCCACCCTTAAGGAATATTTCTTTTCCTTAGTTTTCTTTTTCTTTTCACTGTGGCCTCCCCCACCCTCCAAAACTAGTAAGAGGGCCAACTTAGGCTATAAGTCTCTGAGTCTTGTGAGGTGGGCCCCTGTCAACCAGGGAACGGATTGGGAGCTCCTCCAAATTATTTCCCCAAATTCATTGAACTTACAAAGGGGTTCTAGTCAAAAGATTTTGTTAAAAGCTGGAAACAAAGTTGGGGGTGACTCTTGGGTCCAGGACAAATTCCTTCTGATGATCTAGAGCTTTATTTAGGGCAGGGCATCCCATCCCCAGCCCCTGGGATTCCCAGTCCTTCATTAACTGCAGCTTCTTATCCATGTGATTGCCTTAAAAAGCAGAGATTGCTTCCAAGACTGAAAAGTGACACCAAATGTGTTCTTTGTGGGTTTTGTGAAGTGAACAGAGAGAAATGATATTGCCTCAACTCAGGCTTGTTTCACTAAGGAGGATTCACCATCTGGAGTAGGAGGGTTTCTTTTTTTTCCTCCTACTAGCCACAGAGAAAGAAGGTTGTTTTTCACTTGTTTGACAAGGACTCCCTCATAAAGCTATGCAAGTCACTGAGCTGCCTCTATCATCTTCCTTCCAAAGCAGCATTTGGATTTCATTGAGGGCAGTGGCTTTGACAACAATGTCTGCAAATTGCTAACTGCTGCTGTAAACAAACATCTGTCAGACAAAAACTGTGGCCTTGGCTATAGCAAAATATACTCCCGTTAGAAATTAATAAAATAAGAGCTCTACTTGGTATGGAGTGGGAGAGGCTGTGGTGAGGGAGGAGTTGCTTTTTCTTTAATGAGTTGGGTTGAAGGAACTAAAATATGGACAAACAGCCATGGAAATATAGGGGAAACCAAGAAAATTTCCTCCTTCCTGCCTAGATATGATGCTTTATCGATGGATTGCAAAAAGCCACCACTATGTCTCAATGAAGTCAAGTGTTTTCCTTGGAGAAACCTTATATTTGCGCATATGGAATGAAACTCATTTAATATTTTGGGGGGATTCTCTTGGTGTTGCCAAAACAGGGGAAATCAACTTACTTCAAATAATAATCATAAAGAAAAGTAGGCAAAAGGTCAAAGATGACTTTTTTTCTCATCTTGTTTTTCATAACTGTTTAAGAATAATGACATATTATAAGGTTGGTTCCTTTGCTCACTTTCCATTTGATATAAAACTACATATATTTAGATTTCTCTCACAGGTAAATGTGAAATTTTGCTATCTGAATAGAATATTTGCTGAAATACATTGTAAGAACACAAGGAAAATAACAGCAGAACTTAATACACAGAACCAATCTAATGGTTTTGTGAAAAACTACCAAAACTGTTTTAGAAAATGAAGGCATGGAGTTGACAAAGTGACTTGCTGGATATCCACATGGCAAGTTAAAGGTAGTGACTGGCTTATAACTGAAGATTTCTGTTCCCATCATCCTAAAAAACACAGAATCTTGGAAATCTTCAGGTGTTGTTTAGAAAAGACTCTCATAAAAACAAAATATGCATTTGGTTAAATAAGTGATGAGCTATTACTTGGGGAGGAGTAAACTCCATTTTTTTTAATACAGTATCAGTATTTAGTTTAGCAGATTGGGAATGAGCAAACTAACAATTTGAAAAGTGAACATCAAATAGTTGCAGCACATCAGATATAAGGAACTTGTCAGGCCAGAGGTGGGGTTAGGCAACACAGCACAAAAAATGCTATCAAAGAAATGTACAACCCAGGAAAAAAAAAAGATGGACTATTCACAGAGTGGAGAGAAAGAAATGACCAGTGGATGACCCACAAGTTCCACTGGTATCCACACAAATTAAGAGATTTAGTGGAGAGTCTCCAGCAGGTAAATGGACCCTTCGAGGTAGATTTAGGAGAGGATATAGATCAGTGAAGTATAGGCAATTTTGGATGGCTTACAATCTGGACCCTCGGAGGGAGAACTCACACTGATGAGAACATAGAGTCATCCGAGTACCCAGGTGAAGTGTTAGTTTGAATTGTGGACAAAAGGACAACTAACGATATTTGTGTTCTGTCTTCCCCATCAGTGCCTCACATGCGTCATGACAGAAAATCTGCACATAATGACTGTTTGCATTGTAATCTTTGAAATCAATTATAACTGTAGTTTGTGGTTGATTCTTACACTAGACACAGCCTCTGACAATGCCAATGGCTCATAATCACAAACAGGCTGATCTCGAGGTGAAAATGGGAGGGGGAGGGGGGAAATATGGCGACCTAAGAAGCACATCCAATAAAATAACTGGCTCTGATGAGGAGCCAAAGGTTTCCCAGAGTTCAAGTAATGCAGGTCTTCTAGTTCCAAGGACAGTTTTGTGAATAAGAATTAAGAAAATTTAGAACTTGAGAAGATGTTGAAAAGAGACAATTGGGCTGACAAGGGAAAGAGATCCTTCCCCAAACACCTGGGAAGAGCAAAAGAAGCCCAAAACTGCACCTTCAGATCAGATGATGCTAAAAGATACAGCTGCTGGGGATCAATCAAACTCATTCAAGCAATCACCTAGGGCATTAAAACCTGGATGGGAGCCCTCCGATACTTTCTTGTCTCCCAGGACTTGTCTATTTCCTATGTAAATATTATCTTCCCAGGAAGTATTTCCTGCAGCTTGGCTAAGAATACTTGGAAAACTGTTCAGACTCACAAATTCCCATTTATCACTTCCTCTCAAAAACGAGCAATTTCATGCTGAGTTATTTTCACTAGACTCATCATCCCTATGACAAATCTCCTTAGCAGGAACCTTGTTCTGGGATCTGATTTTAATTAAAAGGCTCTTGTATCAACTGATAAACTCTCACACTGAATATATCCACTGTCTTTAACTGGCCCACTTCTGCTTGGTTTTGCCAATATTTATCATCTTTTGTGCACACTTGGATTTCCCCAGACTTTTCTCCCAGTCCAACACGTCCAAAATCTTGCACAGTCAACAGCCTTCACCCACTTTACTCCTAATCAAAGATTACCTTCTCTGCTTTAAGATTTGTTTTTTTTTTCCTCACGTCTTTTCTTCTTCTACGGATCTAAAAAAATCCAGCACAGTTAGTCCAGTTGCCTGCAGTAACATAATGGAATTTAGTGACGAATAATTCAAAATGGCAGACTGAATCTGATAATGGGTGAAGTTACATGTTTGTCATTTGACTTTGGAATCTATTTTCACATTTACATTTTTACAGTACAAGAATAATAACATCCAACATTTACACGTGCCAAGTGCTGTGCTAAGTGCTTTACAATTATCATCTCATCTGATCCTCACAACAACCCTGGGAGGTAGAGCTGTTATTATCCCTATTTTATGGGTGAGTAAACTGAGGCAAATGGAGGTTAAGTGACTTGCCCAGGGTCACACAGCTAATAAGTGTCAGAAGCTGGATTTAAACTGGGGTCTTCCTGACTCCAGGCCCAGCCCTCTATTCACTGCACCACCTAATTGCCTCATCGGAGTATTTCTGATGTTCCTAGGAATTCAAGGAAAACAAAAATAATGGAGTCCTATTACTGGATCATAGAACCCCCTCAATTGTCAGATGAAGAAACTGAGGCCCAGAGGTGGCAAATAACTTGCCAAAAGTCACAAAGCTAGTAAGTATCAGAGTCAGGAACTGAACCCAGGTCTTCCCGACTCCAAATTCAGCACCCTTTTCACAGCATCATGCTGAAGTCAGAAGGTGATAAGAGGCTGCGCATTTCCCTGTGCTAAGCTTTCTTTAAATTATTTCTGAAATCCACTACACGGGAAAAAGTAAAATGTCCCCTAAGCTGAGTCAAGGAACCAGGCTAATCAGACTTTTTTGTCTTATACCTGGAATAGCATTAGTGATTGAGTGTTTTGGTTTAAAAGGAGTTCCACTCACATAATGTATGAGCAGCAAAACCTTAGAAATCAACAGAGCCAATAATTAAGCCATCTACCTTAGGTGCCATCAAAAAAAAAAAATGGAAAGCAAAATTTGCTGGATTACTGACAATCTTCCAGGTAAAAGCTGTTGCTCTGTGGTCATAAATGGATGTTTCACAGGCAGGACTGACACACTTATGGAGCAACAGTTCCATAACAGTTCCAAATAGTCTGCTATTTTAAAAGTTTGAATGACACATTTCCATTGGTACCCCATGTTCTTCTCTTTTATAACCCTGTGAAATGGTTGATGAAAACATTAATGTTTCCTGCCTAACATATTGTGGTACATAAATGTAGTAGAATACTATCCCATAGTAAGAAATTATAAATATGCATAATCCAGAGAAAGATTGATGCCAAGTAAGCAGAGCCACAAAAATCATGTACGTCTGGAACAGTATAAATGGAAAGAATACCAGAAACAATACAAAACAAAAATAAACAAAGAAATTGAAAGCTCCGTAATAGGCTGACTGCCTGAGAATTGGGCTTCGTTCTAAGGATGACAGGAGAAAGCCCCCCTCCCCTCCATTCCTGGTAGAGGTGGGGACCTATGAGTGTGGGCACTGTCCATATGCTACCAGACTGAGGAGACGTGTTGGTTGGCCTCTGCTCCCCACTCCCAGCCCCAGTTCCAGCTTTCTTTTTTATTCTTTGTTATAAGGGAAGCCTGACTGGGGAAATGACACTGATATGAAAACAAAGAGAACAAAATTTTTAAAAATATTATTTCCATTTTACAGAAGAAGGAAC